CAATTATCCATTGATTGAATTAGAGAATGGATTATTGTTAGTTATATTTATTACTGATGTTCTTCTCACGCATATGTAATTGTACAATCAGTACAAGCAGAGTCAGGGTCCAGCACAGCAGAAGCTGAGCCAGAAATAGGCCTACTCAGAGCTGATGCTGAGGGAATTGATTTTTATGCACACACACACACACACACACACACACACACACACACACACACACACACACACACACACACACACACACACACACACACACACAGCTCTATTTTATGAGACTGCATTGTAGTTTTTCATTATATTTAACTATTTTAGCGTTCTGACTGACTCAGGCTTGCCTGACCTGGTCTTGTTCAGTGCAGTGGCGCCTTGCTTATACAAACTTAAGAGGCAGGTGTCATAAAAAGTTTCTTGAAGGTCTTCGTCATAATAAAATTCACTCTATACAAGTAGAACGCTAAAATAACTGAAAAAATCCTTCTCCGCACCCCCACACGGCGCTCGCATAATAGGCCTCTCCGTCTCAACGTCCCAGGCTGAATTTCAGTCCCAGTACATCCCTGTAAACCCTTTATTTCTGTCCAACATAAAGTTGCACTCACTCGCAAGATGTTGCACCATCTGATATCAGTTGTCACATTCCTCTGATATGCAACTGTTTTATTTATGCATAATTAAACAAGTGAACGTTATTGAACACCATCCACCTCGTAATCTTGATGCAGACAGGGCTTTTTTAGCTTACACCAACTTAGTACAACACAGGATACCTTGGTTTACCTCCAGTCACTCTGAAGCAGTGTAATATGACGTATTGTGAATCCAAGCAGTGACTCACTCCCTTTGTCCTAATTGCCTCCTTTGAAGGCCACATTTCAAGGCTGAATACGTCATACGTCACATAAGAGTTTGACGAGGCCGTCCCATTTCAAGGCTTCTCCAAATGCGGCACAGAAATGCAGCTTTCGCTTACCTGAATCTGGAGAACACAAGATTTTTTACCATTGCAACTTACACACACAAACCCACTGCACGGTGGTCATTGTTAATGGTGCCTTTGGGCAGTTCTTGGCAACTTCTTAAGTTGGGAAATGTCCCTTCATCACAATGCATTTGTAAATGACACATCACACTAATTGACCCTTCGCTAAGCCACGCCCCGAATACGCAGCTGGCCAACCACAGCGCAGTATAGGTCCAACACTTTTCTGGCTGCGCTCCATTCACTCTAATGCAAAAGGGGTCGTTTTCTAGCTTTCTTCTGCCGTATTTTTCTAAGATATGGTCAAACGCTGTTCCTGGGGCACTTGTAATAGTTACAGCAGCTACCCAGAGAGGTTGAAAGGAGAGTACGATTTATTCTTTTTCCAAAACCTAAAATAAATCCAGAAAAATGTCTGCTGTGGATCGTTCCTAATATAATGTTAGCTAATGCTAGCTAACTTCCAACTGAATGTAATGTTATAAAGCCCTACTGTTCTGCTTTTTAATGATTGTAATAATGAATAGAGGCCTACCCAGCTGTACAGGAACAGTGTTGATCCTTAATATCGTTGTCTTTTGTCTCAGTCGTTGGGGGATGTGGTGGTTCACTTGTACTGTGTGATCGGTAGGCTTAGCTTCTATCTTTTTTTCACATCAGTTTGAGTCAGTTTGACAGTCTGAATACAACCTTCAAATGTATAATGCATTTGCAAAACTGTCTGCTTCTCTCTGAGATCGCGATGCTTTTTCCAACAAATTTGACAATATTTCTCCAGGGAGTGCAGTAATAGACAGTGGCAGCGCAGACAGTTTGTCGGACTTAGTAACTAAGGGGGGCGGGGCTTAGGAAAGGGTCAGGTGGACAAAGAAAAAGCCACTGTAAGGTGTAAATACTGAAAACCAGTTTGTTCTAGGTAGCATCCTTGGCATGTTGTTGGTCACTACATAGGGTTTAACATTCCTTCCCACACTATGTACTATGTACGATGAAAACTGTGAAATTGGGATGCATGGCAGCACATAGTTACTGTGATTTCAGTCAATCAGAGATGGAGGAATCCCCAAAGCGAGGCAACAGCAGATGGAATTTTTTTTTTTCTAAAATCCTAAATGTTGTGCCTATTATAAATCAAAATGGAACATGAGAAAAGCATGGACACCAAGTTTGTTTTTGCACATTGGGAATGGTCTCCCTGCTCGCTCAGGATTTGGAGGAAACACTTTTGGAGCCATGGCTTCTGTGCAGCAACATGGGGTTTCGTTGATTTCTTTGTGATAAAAATATATGAATAATCCCACAGACTCATCTGTTGGCACATGTCCTGCATGCCTGATCAGGCTGCTATATTATTAAGGCCGTGTGCTCTGCAGCTGTGTTTCAACCAGTCTGACTAAGACAGGCAGACACAAGCCAGAGATCCATTTTCACATCAGTGTGTGCCTTCTGTGCCAGGGCCATTATTATAATTACTGATACTGCTGGCCTCCTGTTACCAACAATAAAATGCCTCTGGGAAAACTATACAAAATTCTAGACTGGAAAAATCTAATTTGTCGAGAGGATCTTATCATTTGCTGCTGCTGTAATGGCTATTAGGCCAGAGGGAAAAGGGGACAAATAAAGCACTCTGCTAAGTCTAGTAGGAAGGAGAATATACATTTGTCTTTTTATATGAAAGTCAGCCTCCCTCCCACTTCTAAATCTCTCATGACCAAAGCCAAACTTCAAAGTCCTCCCTTCAGCATCAAATATTAAGCAGGGTGCTGTGCTTACACCTGTTCCTCAGTGGAGTGGCTTGTTCCATTTACTTCCACTTTCATCACACCAGCTGATTTGCAGGGTATACACAGCATTAACCACAGAGGTCACCTTTATTGACAGTTTCTCTTGCCCCTACTTCATACGGCGGTCCGAGAGGGTAGGGAATCAATGCCTTGCTCAAGGACATAGGCAGAGCTGATTCTTGTTGACAAGCCTCATCCTCAGTTTGGCAAGATGTCTCCTTAATTACTGTGCTGTCCTGCTTCTCAAATAAGGTAATAATTGCACCTAGGAAGATTGATGATGCAGGTTGTTGTCTTCAGCAAATGTTCATGCTTTGGTTACTAATCACAATAATTGCATCATAGGATACATTACGAAACCCAAAAAGAACATTGGTCTACACAGCAGCAGGGCCGTGTAAGAGGGACATGTGACTTTACTGCCCACTTAAGTAAAATCCTGTCATGTCATGTCAACATGATTCTTAGAAATTGAATACAGTAATATTTGACTCTTCTTTTTACTGAGTAGAGTAACAAACTTCTATATTAAATAAGTTGCCAGTATAGAATCCAAATTAACCAAATACATTAATAAATAATTAACATCTTCTCAACCTGTGGAAAAAAAAAGTGATCTGCTTGACTCTCTAGTCCTCCATATTGTTTAAACATCACTGGTGTCTACAAAATGGTGGCAGAAACAATGTGTGAGGAATTGATCTGCTGTCCGTTCTACAGGAGAAATTCTGGGCATAGTTTTAATATATATTTTTGGATGTTTCATCAAGTGATATTGACCAGTTTACCTGAAGATTCATTTCAGGCTAATTGCCAATGTCTGTTAATATGATATGTTGTCAATATTTGTGAAAAAGCAAATTAAAAGTTACCTACTCACCTATAGGTTCAGATCTACTGTATATGTTCATTTACATATTCATGAATGAAAAATTTCTAGATTACTATAACCACACAGCCTTTTTTCCACCACAGAAAGGCTTATTGTAATATAAAGTAAGAAATATAAAATAAGATATAAAGTGAGAAATCTTGAAAATGAGCAGTGACTGTGTAATCAGAATTTATATTTTAGTAACAAGCCCAGCAGGGAAAGTCATCTATTTATCATGCAGGCAAATTCTGTTCTATTTGGTTTGGTTATTTGAACACATCAGTCTTTGAAATACAATATTTTTGCTATGGTCTTTATTTAACTGAAACAGAAGTGTCTTTATTTCATTGTTGGCTTTCACTGCTGTTTCGTTTTCTTCCTGGTTTACTTGGGCAGTCCCCAACTGAACTCTTTCAGTGATGCTTTTTTTAAGGCATGCAATAAATAATTGAGGGAAGATGCTTGAATGCCCTTAATAGTGACTCCACTGTTTGACCTGTCTTTGCTTAAATAACATTTTGCACATGCTGAACGTTATGTTGCACCTTCACTAAGTAGTGCAATGTGTTTAATCTGATCAGTACATGATATTAGATATTGGTTCTTGCCTTGGTTGAATTAACTTGACAGGGTGCGCTTCAACACATTACAAATGCTTCAGCAATCATAAATGTGTGTGTGCGGTCCTGAATGCATTTGTGTATTTCAGAAAGGTTTGGTGCATTGAATGTCCTAAATCCATGTGAATATATGAGGAAATGTAGACAGTAGACGGCAAGATGCTGTCATCTGTACCCACATAGATGTTTGTTCCCAAATAATCCTCAGGATCGATTCAGATGATTTCACTTACTCAAAATCAGCACACACATGGATCGCACACTTACAACTGAGATATTTGCGTGTTTGTAGAGTTGACATGAATCAACTCTTGTAAAGAAGTTTTGTTACAAGGAAGCCGCTTGGTTTAACTGTCTATAGATGGACTCCTGAATAACCCTGGGAGCACAGTGAGTGATGTGTGTTTGTGTGGTGACAGTGAGGGCCGGCAGACGGAGGGCGGAAGCAGATGTGTGTGAGAGACATTCAGAGCTGTGGCACTATCACAGGGTGCCTTTGTCTGTCTGTAGCGCGTGTTGAATTAAAGGCTGTTAACACTAGTCTGCGCAGTCATATGCTAATGCCTCTTCTTCTGAGAGAATAAATAAATTATGGTCCAGAAAACACATCTGAGTCCCTGCTTTACATGCCTCATGCAACACAGACAGTGTGCAAGAAATATACAGTGTTAGAAACAGAGAGAGAGGGAGAGAGAGAGAGAGTGTTTGTGCGGTTACCCTTATAGAGAGGAGGGGTGGTACTGTACAGAAATAGCGTAGAAGGAACATCAAAGAAGCAAGACAAAGGCAGTTCTCTATAACCTTTTTTTCCTTTTTTGATTAAGGCTTTGCACTCCATGTGGCTGTAGGTGATGCTGTACAAGAGATAACGAGAGATAGATTTGGCAGAGAGGCACAGAGCGAGATTTGGACAGACAGGATGGAAAGGAGGGGAGGGGAGGATTTAAAGGGCAAGAAACGGAGGGAGATTTAGATAGTGCCTACAGAGTGAGAGCGAGGGAAGAGAGCCAGCACAAAGCAGGAGCAGAGGCGGTGGATGGGTGAATAGAAGAGGAGAGGCATTGACTGGAAGCATACACATGGGAGAGAAGAAAACAGCTATTTCATGTGCTTGTTGTGCATGACTGAGGAGTGCGGCTGCCTGTCTGGATTGTTAGTCATCTGCTGCCCCACAGTTAGAGGACATTCGAAGACGCAGAGGCAGGCTGGGGATATAGGGCTGCGTGCAGAGGATGAACAGGGGATGTGAGCTCTCTGCCTGTGATCGCTGTCCTCAGACCCCGTAGCCACTTGCACTGGTGCTGTTGCAGGCCGTTAGCCTCGCAGTTAGGCAGCGGCAGTCAGAGTGGTTGATACAGAATGAGCTCCAAACACTCCTCCGACTGGATTCCCTACAGGTACTGTACCACATTCCTGAGAGCACAGGAAAGGGCACAGTGTTCATCTTTTGTAGCAGTGTGTGCATGGTTGTGTGTCTGAGCGGGTGTTCAGTCATGTGAGTGTCTGACAAGGAGATCAGACTGATAGCGGTAACATTGAATTGGCACAATAAAAGCAAACACTGTGATCTTGTTTTCACTAACATGAACGTGTTTAGTGGATATGCATTTATATTTTAAACTGAGGCTCTTGTTTAAAAGGACCACAGAAAAAATTTAATAATGCAAACCCGAATCCCAGAATTTCATCTCCATAAACTATTGAAGTCTCAACATGATTCACAGGCAGAAAAATATTCTCTTTCCTTACACTATTATATTGTTTGCATGTAAAACTGCCTGCAATTAGATTCAGAAATAGTGTTGGTTTATTGGTTTCTAAAGTAGTAGTCTCAATGGAATGTAGGACGTAGGGTCACATTCATATGGTACATATTTCAAAATCACTGAGGAAGCATTTGTCTTATGTCTGCAGAAATGATCTTTATTGTATGAACCTGGGACTATAGTCCTGTAGCAAAGTATCTTTTTTAAAATATCAAAAATGTGAGCATTTATGAACGTTTAGTCTCTTGCTGTAAAACCTATATCTGCTTTCATCATTTCAAGTGCAGTTCTACCACTGCTGGCTCTTTCCTCTGATTGAACACCCATTGCCATGGTTCCCTGCTTACTTTGAAGCCATTGGCTCATGGTTGCTATAAGTTACGGTGGATAATTCAATTCAGTCCACGAATTTCAGAATGAGACTGCATCAGGACAACAGCAGAAAGTGATCTGTGTGGAATTTATTTTAAACTTCTGGTAAAGACTGTAGAAACAGTTAATACAAAAGCATTCATTGAGATCATTAGATTAACTTAAACAAACATATGATTCCATGAGTGATGCAGTAGGGGAAAGAACAAACTGTATTTATACCCAATAAATACAGTTTGTTCTTTACCTCTACATTCTACATTTTGGCCTTCTCACCGCTTCGATTTTTGAATGTGGACGACGAAATAATATGATAACAAGACATATTTCGTTCATTTATTTTTCTCATCCCGTAAAACTGCCATGAAAAATGCATGGGCCTCTGTACAGACTTGGAGGAGAGAGCTGCACTGTGTGGTTCTCTCATCAAATTAGATACATACAACACTTGCATTCACAGAAATTGACAAAATGACGAAGATATTTCACAAACACACACATTCTCAAAGAAACAGTTCTTCTCTGTGGGGAGCAAATTCACCAGATTAGCATTTCAGTAGTGGAAGATTCATGCAAATCTCTTATTCTTTCTGGTTTCCTCTGATATGAACTCAGAGAGCAGAGCAGAAAATGTAAGCTCTTGACAAAAGAATGGGTTTATTTAGTAGAATGAATGAATTAATAAAATTTAACACAAATATTTATATATTTTAGTTTATTTATTCTATATTAGTGTTCTTATACTGTCAATATTAGCTGCATTGTTTACTTTACTTACAAGGTTTGGGTCTGTGCAGTGCTCATCAGATTATTTCTCACAATCAAATTTTATACATCGCACCACACAAATGAAAATTAGACATGCTTATGTGTGCATTTTGGATTGTCCTCCATTGTTGTCACACATATAAAACCTGGTGATGCATATAAAACAATTTTAAAAGTGTGAAGAGGAAAAGCCAAATTCACTTGTGGCTGGCTGAGTAAATAAAAAAACAATTATTTTGGAATTATGTATTTTTAAATTAAAATTTCAATAGTTTTTTGTAATGTTGACATGATGAAACAGCCAACTCACAATGTCAATATGATAAGAAAATCAGTCCTGAATATTACAGCATCAGCTTGTAAACAATGCTGTCTTAAACATGACGTTTATGGTACTGTTTTCTGTAAATGTTCATGTTACAGCAAAGTACAATCAAATTCTAACAATATAATACAAGTGGTTTATTTTTAACTTTGAGGGTACCTTCACCCTAGACCTTATATTCCCATGTTTTGTGTCTATGTGGCAATTGTGCCCCCATCAAAGTATGTCCACTATTTTCCCCTCAGTTTGTTATTACCTGTCTGACAACTTTATGGAAATGGTCCTTATAGATTTTTTTAAAGAATAACATCCTTTTTTTAAAAACTAGAAACAGTCACTATATTGCTCTCATCAAAGCCACCAGTCTCCCTTGACAAAAACAGTAATTTTACTTCTCTGGTCTACTGTTGCCTCAATTGGTTAATTTGTGTTATCACGTGACTTTGGTGTTTTTAACTCCTCAAAATGCCAAAGTCACACAATGACACAAACAAACAAAAACACAAAGTCACACAATAAAACAAACAAAAACAACAAAGTCACATAATAACACAAACTAACTAACTGACTGAGGCAGTGGTAGACCAGCTACTCTCATGTTGTGCGAGGTAAATTTACTGTTTCTATCAATGGAGTCTGATGGCATGAAGATAGCGATCTAATGACTGTTTCTGGTTAAACAAAAAGAATCTTACTCTCTAAAAAAGGTATATCTCTGTAGGGATAATTTCCACAATGCTGTCAGATACTTGTAATAACAATCTGATCTTGCAAAAACAAGCACTTTGAAGTACTTTGATGGGGTGCAATTGCCCGCAAGGATTACGTTGCTTGCAGCCCTGTTTCACTGCTGCCGACTGCAGCACACTCGCTCAATGCTGGACCAGTTTCAAAAAATGTTGTCCCAGTAAGTCATATAGACACAAAAACATGGAGAAATAATGTGCATGTTGAAAAATACAGAAGTTACCCTTTAAATGGGCATACAGATGGTCAAAAGTATGATGAATCAGAACATTTACCTACAATAAGATAATAACATCAAATAGCATCCAAATAGTTAAACAGCTTCAAAATATAATTTAGATGATACATTTTAATTTAAAAAGAAGGCTCTGCACATTTAGGTCCAAAACAAATATCAATACAAGAAGCTTTTGTTCACTAGATGTTCACTAGACTTACTGATGAATATTTAATAACCAAAATCATCAATAAACACTTGCATGGGACCTTACTGTGCAGAGCCTCCCTTCTTTATATTTCATATTTTCTTGTACTTGTTGCGTCGTTTCATGAGTTTTGAAAATATCTACATGTTACTCAGGTTTTCTCAAGCAAGACACAACTGGGAAGTTTCAAAATTTGTCATGGTTGATGGACTTCAACTTCAGCGTCATGTATTATACCTGGTCATTATATAGAGCATTTTCACCTTGAGTTTTGAGGTGCACTACATTACAATAAAGAGACATTTAAGACTATAAAGATTCCTGTAAACCTCACCATGAGTGTGTTGCAGGACAAGAGTGACCGGAGACTCTCCACAATAATGAGCTGTTTGACCTCCACTGGAACAGCTCTGTTTGTGTCATTATCTTCCTGTCTGATGCCTATTCACACACTTGATTACTCTGATTACAGACATGGAGTGCTTTGTTTATCTGTATGTCTGACAGAGAGTGGGAGGTAAATACATTTTTTATTGCATCTGTGTGGGCCTTTGTCCTCAAACTAGAGTTGGTCGTGCAGCGATACAGTTGGACTAAATATTAATTGACTGATCTTACATGCTGTACATGCAGCTGATTGGCTATCCACTGTCACTGTTCAGGCTTTTGACAGAAGTATGAACAGTCTAAAAACACTCTTCAACCACTTTGACAAGCCACCTGTTGGCTTTATTTATCATGCACCAGTAAGACTTAGTAGGAAATGAAAAGAGATTTGCCGCAGTTGCCATTAATCAAACCGAGAGACAACAAATTGACAAATACATGTTTTTACGTTACGTTACGTTTAAGTTTTTTTTACATTATTGTTTTTATTTGTTGAGAGTAAAACATGTCTTTTAAAACATACCCGGAGGTAAATAAAAAAGGTAAAAAAGGAGCAATCCATTAGGTGCCTGTGTCATAAGCTCCTCACAGTAAAACAATATCCGTTTAAAGGCAGAATGTATGAAATGGATTAAGCAACGTAAGGAAAAATTTACATGTAAAAACATTTTTAGTTTCAGTCATAGGTGAGAGTGCTGGAAAAACAACATAATTTTCTCATAGGTAACCCCCCCATCTTTCATCCTTTTCTCTTTTGCTGTAGCTCATTTTCTCCAACTCTTCAGGAGAAAATATCTCATTGCCCTCTAATTAGGAACCATTGAGGTTTCTCAGGGGTATCTGAGATGCCGCGGGTGGAAGGAACAATCATTGAGTCTGCAGAGGACACAAGAAATCTTTTAAGATATATATGTAAAAACAATGAACACATGGGTTGTAGCAATACAATTAAATTCAAATGAGTTTATTGGCATGAAAGGTTCAAAAACAGTGTTGCCAAAGCATCAAAACATAATTTGTCCAAATAAATCACACAAAAACAATATTTAGATATCTGTCACATTCCTCAGCAACACCAACAGAATGACCTGGTGAAAGACACTTAAACCAGTAGGACGGGTGGTGAGGGTGAATACTGTACCTAACAATGAAATCCCTTTATGTAGTTTGCGGTGATACAGTACACACACAGTCTCTTTCATCAAATCATCTCTCTTGAAAGGTGAATTGTGTATGTCAACAGCTACTGTTCTGTTCATGATAATGGTCCTAAATGATTCACCAACTGCGCCACAGCTTACAGTGAAGCTTTAACAGGGCAATGGTGTGCCACAGAACATACTGGAACACACCGAGCATACAGACAGCAGAGAGGTGGATCATGCAGCAGGAGGTGTTTGTGAAGTTTCTGTGGATCTTTTGATATGTTTTCCACTGTGAAAACTGAAGCCTTTGTGAAGCTGGCCACAGAAGGAAGGACACACTTTAACAGCTACATTTCTGGCAACATGGGTTGAACATTCAATACTCTGTGTGAAAGAATGTCAAATCAAGTAAAGTCAATTTTATTTACATTGGCTAAAATCATAAATATGCCTCCAATTGCTTTACAATCTGTATAGCATATGACACCTGCCATCATGAGATCCTCTATATCTGCCTTTCTTGTGACAGACACTGCTGTCCATATGTTCACTGGCACAGTTTCTTAAGCCATGGATTCAAAGAAAAACAATGACAATGTTGTTTGCTGCAGGATAACTTAATCTCTGTTGAGGAGATCTGCACATGTACAGTACCTCCAGTCACAGTCACTCTTGGCTTCTAACAATTTCTAGTCACTCTTTTTTTAATGTTGTGCAAATGCAAATTCATTTACAGAGAATATAATGGACTACTTAGAATTTCTTAATCTGTCAACAGCTAGGAAAACCAAGATGCATCCTAAAACCAAATTATGGGTCTCAGGGCGGAAAAATCAGGGTCTCAATGAAAGGAGAACTTTGTTTAGTAAAGAGGACATTGATCCAGAGAGGGAGAGGAAGAAGGAACTCTGCAGCTCTTTCCTGATAAAACCATAAAGTAACTTAGCAATGGAAATCAAGTTTCCCTCAAATTGTTCCTCTTCTCCTTTCTAAAGATTTGAGCCAGCTTCATATGTTTTTTTTTCTGGACGCCATGACATCAATTTCAGCATCACGTTCAGGTGATGCCTCTGATTATGTTCCTGTTGTCCTCACTGAGAAGAAGCTAACTGATAGCGTTGTAAGAGCCCCCTGGTCCGTATTATTGAAGGGGACTTTTTAAGGGCTATATCTATGAAAGTACACATGCTCTCATTAAACTGCCTCAGTTTTAACATGTGGACATAAAATAAATTAGTGAACTGGAAGGTCCAAGTTTGGCTGGCTATTGTATATTCATGAAGTGCATAAGCAACTGTAAGTATCAACACTATGCACCAGAGAAGTGCATGCATACCGGATGCATTCATCCCAAATATAGGACAATAAATTCTTCCCTAATACTTTTAATTCTTCTGTATTTTATGTTCAAGATAAGAATGCACAAAGTTGTGTAAACATCTTTTATGCAATTGATACTCATGGAAAACAAGTATATTCACTGTAGTGGTAGTGTGCAGGACTTCACAGTCATGAGGGTAATTTAGGTCTCAATGCGAAAACAAAGGTTTCAGTCCACAACAAGCTTACCATATATATTATAGGCGATGAAGCTAAAATACAGTCAGATACTGCAAGTGTTCTTTTGTTTTCAGAGTAGCAAGTAAAGTAACTGAATCTGTTTGGAAAATGGCATTATTCTATTACAAACATCAACCTCCACTTTCTTTGCTCTTTTCTTTTTAGCACTTTAGATGACGAGGGCACCAACCTCCGACAGCAGAAACTGGACAGACAGGTAAGTCTTTGCTGCTCTGATAACAGAGTAACACACAGGCAAAATTAATTACAACTGGGCAGTTTGATCATGACACAAACTTCCGCTGCTGCCCAAAATTGGCAGCTAGGACTTGTTATCTCTCTGAGCAGTGTGCTAATGAGAGGGTGTGTATAAAGGGTGTGAAAGTCCATTAAATTACATTTTACAAAATGTAATGTCAGTATTAACCCAAAAACGTTTAAATGGTGTTCACACAATGGTGTACACCTATTAAATATTTTAACATGTCATAAGCATTCTAATACAGCAGATAATTTTTTTAAAGCAGTGCTTTACAAAGTTACCTGTCACGTTAGTAGACATTATGATAACCTAGATAAAGGAGGTTAATATATTGAGAGTATACAATGATTGGGCCTTATTCTTGTGTACAGTACATGCTATAAGGTCCTTTGGTGGTGACTACAGATGAAAAATAGCCTTTTGGCTAAATCTGGCATATTTACGTCACTGACATTCATTAACGTGCACTATCCCATTTAAATAAATAAATTGAAATTGAATTTGAAATTGGATGTAAAATGGATACATGTTTCATGCTAATAAAATGAAACAAATTAACATAGATTGCTCTCTCAGTTCCTGACAAAGCTATTGACTAGACATTGTGATAATCTACATTTAGGAGATTATAATATTCTGACTGCCTATTGTGAAGGTCCATTTTGGTGAAAAATAGATACATGTTTATTGCTAATCATACAGGTTAAAAAAAGTCACTGTAAATCACCCTTGCTCTTTACATTTCAGGGTGCTACTCTCGCAAAATCAAGAGTTAGAGTGACAGAGTACAAGATCCTTTAATCAAACTGAAGTTTGGCAGCTTCACACTCTACCTCTGTTGTCACTGTTGTCAGCAGTGCTGTAGCCTGACAAAACAAATATGCCCAGTCTGCAGTTCAACCCTTTTCAGTTCTTTTCTATGCATAATGAAAAGTGCTGTTGCTGATGTCTAGCTATTTTCTGAACTGATATAACACGAGTGGAGTACTCAAAGCACTCATGGTCTATTCTGTAGTCAGAGCTACATCAAATGCTCCTGCAGTCTTTTTCTAATTAATCAATGGTGAGGCCTAACAGGAGGTCTGTTGCACATTTTCATCCATGCTTGAATAGAGTTAAAGTTACTGACTTCATAACATCATAAAACAGATAATTATTGATTGATGGCCTTACTGATGACAATAAAGTCAAGAAATGTTTGGATTAATGACTTATTGCAGCATGAAAATAAATTACTTAATTTTACTCCTCACTCAGCTGGTTCCTATTATTTTTATTTAAGACTCACAAAGGGTTTAAAGAACAGTGTGATGTAAAAACAAAACATCTTTCTCATTTATAAGTCACTTATTAGTTAAAGATTGCATGTAGCTGCACATTTCAAACCTTTTATACCAAACTTTATGTTAAATGCCTTACCCACACGTCAAAGCCTTAACCACCATGTCCATGTGCTGTGTAAATGTTCCTACTGTTATGGCCATCACCGTCTTGGCAAAAATGTGAGCTTTATAGGGGATACTGAAGAGCTCCGCAGCTCTGCAGCCTGGATTCTCCACTAATAGAAACCTTCAATAATTGATGAGCTCTGGTTTGAAGACTTGCATATAGCTGACAGTTAGTCCAGATGAATATCTATATCCAGCCTCAGATCAAAGTGGTTTAGGCAGCACATCCTTAAACATCTTCAGATTGTTCTCCTGTCTTAACAGATGAGTCTGTGTTAGTGCTGCTTGCCTTTCTGCCTACAGTACGAAGATAGCTTACAAGAAAATCTGTACTGCATCATAAGTGATTATCACAGAGCTTGTTTATAATGGGAAACTATTATGTATTATGTCTGAAGAGTGTTGTTTTACACAAGAAGGGGAGGATAAAACTTTGCCTCTTAAAGATGCAGGAAATGTGTACTGGATATAATTTAGGTGGTTCTAAAACAATTAGCAGCTAAATTATTATTTTTGATTATCACGCAGTACTGCTTGTACAAAAACCTTGCAGACATTACATTACGCTTGTACACACACACATATAGAGGTTGTTCTTTATTGTGGTAATCACTGCTTACTTCAGTGACCTCAGTGCCACTGTAATTTTGTTTTAACTTAATTTATTATAATAAATATATAATATTGTATAATAGGATGGTGTAAATTCACTCAAACTTTATTGTCTTTCTTTCTGTCTGGGCATGTTTGTTGGCACGAACACATACATGAAACCTCCACAACAGCGCGCGCTCCTTGAACAGAAGCAGAAGAAGAAGCGGCAGGAGCCCCTGATGGTCCAGTCTAATGTGGACGGGAGGTCTCGCACTCGTCGGACCAAACAGAGCGAGGAACAGGCTCCGCTGGTGGAATCCTACCTCAGCAGCAACAGCAGCACCATCTACCACGGTTAGTAAGGCTGGCACCCCTCTGGGGCTCTGTTGATTCAGAAAGCTCAAACAGAGGATTTCAGAAACACTATGAATTGAACAGCTAAAGATGTCGGACTGCTTTTTTGATCAGTCTGTCTTATTTATGGGAAGTAATTGTTCTTGCACAGAAAGAGATTGCAGTTTTTGCTTCTTTTCCCAGTTCAAAGTGTACACTACAAGCGGCATAGTTGCCAAACACAAAACTATAGAATCAGAATCAGAATCAGAAGCTTTATTGCCAAGTAGTGTTTTACACATACAAGGAA